ATACTGAGTAAAATTATATCTTCTCACTCAAGCTACTACTGCTTTCTATCTCAAAAGTCTGAGATAAAGTCAAGAGTAGTGATCTATGAAAGAAAGAGATTAAGACATTAATTTAATCTAAGATTTAATATTATGTCTGACTCTGATATTCTGATGAGTGATATTATAGATAAAGAAAATGAGTTTGATACTATACAGCTTATAAATATCTATAATGAAAAGTTATTAAAGAAAAATAATAATATCTGAATAATTGATAGAGAATTTCTGAACATAACTTCATTAAGAAACTCTATAATTATAGAAGATTTCAATACATATCATCTCTGATGAAATTCAGAATGCAAGAGAGTAGTGAGAGCTGATAATCTAGTTAAATGAATCTTTAAGTATTTAATAGATTTGGTTAATAAGTTTGATCAACAAACATTCTTTAGAAAAGATATGAAATAGAAATCTATTATAGATCTAATCTTCATATTACAAAATCTAATGAAAAGAAGACTTGTAAACTGATTTATTAATTCAAATAAGACATCAGGATCAGATCATGAGATTATTCAATTTGAGATTGAACTGAGTGAAAAATAAATAAGTGAAAATCCTCTTCTCTCTAATCAGTTTAACTTTGAAAAAGCTGATTGAAAAGCAGTTGAAGAAAGTATAAAACTGTTAAAATCTGAAAGACAGAATGAGCTATATTGAAATTCTGATCAAGATATCTCAAATAAAATGCTTAAGAATAGAGTGAAGCTTATTACATCTATTATTCTAACAAGTGTTAGAGATAATATTTCAAAGAGAAAATCTTCTAAGTATTCAAAACCTTGATAAAATGAGAATATCTTATCTAAAAGAAAAGAATTAGCTACTGCTAGAAGAGATTGAAAGAATAATATAATATCTGATGAAGAGTTCAAAGCTGTCAGAAATGAATATTTTTCAGATATTAAAAAAGCTAAAACAGACTGTTGAAATAAATTTCTTGAAGAAGCATAAGAGAAGAAAGTTTTTAAAGCTTTCAACTATACTAAAATAAGAAGTGTAGCAAAACTTCCAGTCTTAGAATATGAGTTTCAGAATGAATCATATACAGCAAACTCTTTTGAGAAAAAATGTCAAGCTTTTATAAGAATTCTCTTTCAGAACTCAGCAGATTCAGATTCAGATTCAGAGAAAGAGAATATATCACTTCTCAACTACATTGATGAAAATGACTGAGAATGGCCTGATCTTACATAAGATGAATTAGAGTCAGCTATCTTCTCAAGTTCTGTTAAAACTGCTGCAGGGCCTGTTTCAATTAATCACTTGATTATTCAAAATATATATTTCTACTTAAAGAATGAATATTTTGAGCTCTTTTTCAATCTCTTGAAAAATGAATATCATTCTGAATGCTGAAGAGAAGCCACTGAAGTGATTCTTATAAAACTGAATAGAAAAACTTTAATTTCTAAGTTATATAGAGTAATATCTCTATTAAACTGTCTAGAAAAGATTTTGAAAAAGATAATAACTACTCAACTATCTTTTATAAGCTCTATTAATAACTCTCTTTTATTCAGTGAATAAATGAGAGATAGAAAACAATGTTCTACAATTGACACTGTTCTCTCAGTTATTCATGATATTTAAATAGCAAAGCATGAAGATCTGATCTCAACTGTAGTTTTTATTGATATAAAAGAAGCATTTGATCATGTTTCAAAGTTAAAGT